TCAGAAGAAACGAAACTACCCCGAAACGTGAGAATCGCTCCCCTAACACTTTCGCGCCGAAGCCTGACCTAACATTCAGCCGAACTTTCTGTGGCCTCCTTCTGCGGTAGTTGTTTCCCCCCGTTTCTGACGCTCGGCACGTTACAGGCGCTGGGTCTGCCCGCGCTGCCCAAGGAGCTGCTCCTGACGCTGTGTGCGCTGCTGGGCCCGTACGACCTGGTGCGGCTGGGCCAAGTGAACCGCGTGCTGCGCGTCGTGGCGCGCGACCCCGCCGCCTGGCAGCACGTAACCTTCCCGGAGAGGAAGCCCAGTGCAGACGCGGCCGTGGAGAGGGGGGGCCGCTCCATGATGGGCATGCTGGACCGCGAGGCAGCCATCAAAAGGTAAGGTAACCTGACCACCGCACTCCGAAATCTTAGTGAAACCTTTCAGGCATCGCCGCGTGAAGAACAAAAGTAATCGAAAAATTCTGGAACCAGTAGCGCGCCATCTAGCGGCGGTTACTGTAAACTGGCAAAAGCTGAACCCTGATTGGTCACAAGCGTAGGTCTGGACGAAGTTCTCAACAGTCGCCGCTAGGTGGCGCGCAACTAGTTCCTACTTTTTGATTACTTTTGTTCTCCACACGGCGGTGACTGAAAGGGTCTTTTGTCCGTACACGGTTCAGGAGAATCAGCCTCCTTAAAGTATGGTTGTACAGAAACCATCAGATGAGTGAAAATGTAGTCATTCCGTAACATTGAAGACTAATATTATATACACGCAGCGTTTAAATAAAAAAATTGGACTTAATGTACACGCAGCGTGCACAAAACAGAAAAAAATTATTGACACGCAGGATTTTTCCCTCAGACGTCCCCACGGTGGCCATGGGGAAAAAATGTTCCTGCGTGCAAAAATATTTTGGCTTTTATTTAAACGCTGCGTGTCTCCAAGGCACCAAAAATTATTGGCACGCAGGATTGTAAAAATCTTCCGACCGGGACTGAGTCCGGCATGGCGGCTTGGTGGGTGAGGGGGTCCGTGCTTGCAGGGGAATTTTTTTGGCCCGGGTTCGAGACTCACCTTCTTCTCAAAAAATTTCTGCGTGTCAATAATAAAAAACCGGGTGTTGTTCAACGCTGCGTGTTTATAATAAATTCACATGTTATTTACCCCAGCGTGTCTGAAATTCCAGTTTTATTATTTACACGCAGGAAAAGTTTTGCTGCGTGCAAATAATATTTTGGCTTTTATTTAAACGCTGCGTGTCTTCAAGACCCCAAAAAAATTATTGGCACGCAGGATTGTAAAAATCTTCCGACGGCGACTGAGTCCGGCATGGCGGCTTGGTGGCAGGGACCCTTAACTTACCTCATAAGGGCATCATAACTTTATCATAAGAGTTAAAGTTATTACCCTTAACTTCTAATATCTTTTCAAAAGGGTAAGTTATTTTTTTATGTCTCGAATTTGTGTGGATATACTTTTGCAAGTACTTTCGTAAGTCCGTACCCTTAACCTATAGCGAACATTGTCTTATGTTACGTTATGACAGCAGTGTTAGTTAAATGTTGAGTTAAGTAAGGATCCCTGCTTGGTGGATGAGGGGTCTGTGCTTGTACGGGAATTTTTTGGGCCCCGGGGGCGAGACTTCGCCTTTTTTTCAAAAAAATTTTTGCGTGTAAATAATAAAACTGGGGCTTGCAGACACGCTGCGTGTAAATTACGTGTGAAATTTTTTATAAACACGCAGCGTTGAAACAACACCGGGTTTTTATTATTGACACGCAGAAATTTTTTTAGAAAAAGGTGAGTCTCGAACCCGGGCCCAAAAAAATTTCCCCTGCAAGCACGGACCCACTCACCCACCGCCGCCATGCCGGACTCAGTCGCCGGTCGGAAGACTTTTTACAATCCTGCGTGCCAATAATTTTTTGGTGCCTTGGAGACACGCAGCGTTTAAAAAAAAGCCAAAAATTATTTTCACGCAGCAAAACTTTTCCTGCTGTAAAAAATAAAACTGGGCCTTTGGGGACACGCTGCGTGAAAATAAGGTGTTTATATATTATATACACGCTGCGTGTAAACAAGACCCATTTTTATTATTTAAACGCTGCGTGTCTATAATGACTCCGAACATTGAATGTCATCATGAACCAAAGCGACACTAACGTCTTTGAATCTCGAAAGCGTCAATTTAAATTGTTGTTATCACCATCAACAATACAATTTATGAGCAAACATCCGCCATTATCGGCTCTATAAAAGAAATGATGAGTAATGAGTAATATTGGAATCATCATCTATTTTGTTCTTCTAAGACATGGGGAAATTACTAAGTTGAACCATGAAAAATAAATCTAGCGACAAGAGTACTCGATCAATGTTTGTCGCAGCCATTACAAAACCTTTTTTGATTAATATACTTGTTGTTGGTCAATGACTTGTTTTTGGAGGTGGACTGTTATAATGTTGTTACAAGTTTGTAACAAGCTCCACTGTTAAAAATCCACTCTAATATTACAACACAATCACCTACAGTCGCCTACAGTAATGCTGTTAAATAACAACAGTATTGTTTTGATTCTGAACGGGAAACCCATCCATAGACAGCACGTTTGTTTTATAACAACTGCCATGTCAATTAACAATGTGATCAGGATTGAAAACAGTTGTGATGTTGTTGAACAGGTTTTTTGAAGAAATAGACTTAGTGCAATTTTAAAACATACATTGTTGTCAGGTTACAAGCCTCTTGTTAAATTTCATCATGATGACACCGACATAAATGCTACAAGCATGATTTTATTACTATCGAATTATCAGGAAACAGCACCGAGGGCTACAACATTCTTGTAAAGACTTGATGATATTAAATTTAACAGCATAAGTTTTATTTATTTACGACATTTTTTTTACATTTCCCCAAAACAAATCTTGTTGGTAACACGGTAAAAACTGAACCTGGTTTTCCCAGGAAGCCAATGATGAAGGCATAGGCGATTTCCAGGGAGTTCCTAGGAAAACCAGGAACCGTTTTTCCCGTGAAGTTACGACTAAATTTTTATCAGTGTCCACTTTTTGCTCAATAGCTACACTGAAAAATGCCGGACTTCGGTACGGAAATGGTACAGAAAAATTTAGTACGGAGGTACCCGTGGAGAAAAGTATGGAACATCCGTACTTGCTCCATATGAACCCAAAACGGTTACGGAAAAAAAGTACGGAAGTTCCTTTGTTGGCAAGTACGGACGGTCCAGGCATTGACGAGACATGTTCCGTACTTTTTCTGTACTTTTTTTTCTCACAGTGTAAGCATGCTTTGCCGCCAGGGCGCTGGGCCGGGACGCGGGGTACGGCGTGCTGCGCGTGGCGCCCGCCCTGGGCACACTGCGCATCATCCACTCGTGGCCGCCCGTCAACCTGCTGCGCCACACGCGCCGCGTGCGCGCCCTGGAGCTCCAGTGGACGGAGATCGCCGGCCTGCACGGCTACGGCTCGGACAAGCTGCGCCGCGTGCTGGAGCACTACCGCGGCCACCTTCAGGTGAGATCAACATTGGATTCCAGCCGACCATACTGTAAAAAATTATGTTGTAATTTAGCAGTAAATATGTTGCTAATTCTCTTAGCGATCAAAGTTGTTTTCAAATGACTTTCGTTGTTTACTAACGAGTTGCGTCGTTCGTCCACAAGATGTTTGTAAACCGGTAGACAGCCTTATTTGCATCAATTTTTATTGCCGATTAGGTCACAGACCTAGTAGAGACCCGGTTACCCCGCAGTAACCACTTCTTAGATTGTCCGGGTTGTTTGTACGCAGCAAAATATTGTTTTGAAACAGCATAAGTCATAAAAATAATTAGCAACGAATTCGTCGTTTTAAAACAAGCAAACTTGTTCACAAACAACAGCGTTGTCGAGGTTGGTAATTGTGTTGTTGTTTTAAAACAACAATTTTTAACAGTGCAATCCGCACCTCGGAATCGGTTCAAACTTCAAATGAACACCTTGGAATCTATTCAAATTTGAGATTATTACGTACTTTGGAATCGATTCACTGTTCAAATTAATACTTCGGCATCAATTCAATTTTCTGAACCATGCCCAGGAATCGATTCGAATTTCAAGTCGACGCGTCCTTTAAGAATATGTAATCCCAACTTCCTGAGCAGATACAAGACAATCCTGTCAGTGCAGATTTACTCTACAAATCAAAAAGCGTACATTGTATGCTCTAACTGGAGCATGCCTGCAAGCACGCTGTAGGTAGCGCATGCCTGCCAAGCATGCACTAACTAGTGCATACATGCCATGTACACGCTTCCTGATGCAGAAAATTCCCTATCCCCTATGCACTGGACGTATGCGTCAGTTAGCGTGTATACTGTACCCCCCCCCCCCCCCCGCCCCAGCGTTCCTTCTTGATGGCCCCTTTCACCTCCCAGTGTGACAGTCGGCAAACGGAACAAGCTCTTACCTTATCTCCTGATCACTCCTGACAGAACGTAAACCTAACCTGCAACGCCGCTTTCCGCTGTGGTTCTTTCTCCAGGTGCTGCAGTTGCCTCGGATCGACGACGTGGCCCTGCTGCACTTCATCGACGGCCTGGGGCTGCGGGAGCTGCGCCTGGGCGACGCCGTGGTCAGGACGTACGACGCAGACGGCTCGGTCAGGGGCGTGCCCCATTTGCTCGTGGGCTCCGACGTCACTGGTATGCCACTCTCAGACTGCTATTGACTTTTTGTCCTTTGTTAAAGAGTTTTTTTTTAAATCAGCAATAAAAAGTACTATTTCATCATTATCTATGTAAGATTTTGTTCGTTATATTGGCTTAAAGCCAATTTGCCATTGACAAAGAGTTAATACGCAATTGACTTAGAAAATAGTCAATAATTGATGACAATTTAGTCTTTATAGTGAAGAATATTGTTCATAGTTCCAAAGGAAATACTTATTGCTGTTTAAAAACTACTTAAGCAAAGGACAAAATGTCAATAATGGAGAGGAAAAAGTCAATACGAGTCTGAAAGTGCAACTAAAGACAAAACAAATTTTGTTTTTTTTAAATGTTGTAAAAACTCCGTTCTGTCATTTGGTTTTTATCGTTTGTGTCTAAGCATTATCTTTTAAAAAATCATCGTAATCAAAAGAAGGGGTAAAACCCCTCTGAAAAAGGGTACAGGACGAGACTGCCTTTTAAAGAAACAACACTGGTAAAACTAAAGCGTAACTCTATGCTTGAGTCAAGCATAAAGTTACGCTTGAAGACGTTACGCTTGAAATCAAGCATAGGCTAGAAATTCTCCCATGCATTTAGATAGGGAAACTCTTGGAGGATGAGCCTACGCTTGATTTCAAGCGTAAGCTGATTACGCTTAAAACAGTGGGTAATACAACGCTTTAGTTTTACCAGTGCACGTGTTAAACAGAAACGCGTCGCTTGTTGCAGGGGAGGTGCTGCTGGAGCTGCTGCGCCCCAGCGAGGACACTCTCACCATTTTCCAGGTCAAGTCTCGCCTGATGGACTTCTGCAAGTGGGCGTTCCGCGAGCCCGAGGCGGGTGTGGTGCCGGCGCTGCGCCGCTGCCCGCTTCTCGAGACGGTGGAGGTGCCGGCCCTCTGGCTGGTGCGCGGCCTCCTCAACGACTTGACGGGCCTCACCGCGCTGCACCTCATCGACCTGGGCACCCAGGACCACGCCGACGTGCGCAGGGCGCTGGCGACCTTCCCGCTGGCGCGCAACATCGTCAACATGAGTGTGACGCTCGCCTTCCAGGTACACAGCCAATCTGCAAAAGGCTACACTGCACTCTTAAAACCTTACGAAGTATTTTGAGCATACATATAACAAACTAAAATACTTTGTTATACGAAGAAATAGTTCGTAAATTACGAAGTGTTTTGTTTGTAAGCTTCATACATACAAACTACTTTTGTTTGTAAGGCCCGAAATAGTTTGTACAGGTTTTCTCAGTGTGCGAGTATTAGGGTATTTAGAAGGAGCTCTGGCCCGGAAGAAGAAGAAGAAAAAAACGGAAGTTAGAAATGGCAGTTTTTATGAGAAATATGCGCTGCGGATGAGGTCTGGGGCTAATCCGCAGCGTATATTTCTCATAAAAACTGCCATTTCTAACTTCCGTTTTTTTTCTTCTTCCGGGCCAGAGCTCCTCCGAAATACCCTATTTCTTTTGTAATACAAAGAAAAGTTTTGTAATAAAGCACAGTTAATTAGTACTAGAAAATAGTTTAATACAACTACACCGTGTTTTCTCGTCATACAAAAGGATGCTTCGTAATACAAATGTCGTCCTTAGTACAAACTTTTTTGTGCAGTTACAGTGTACGATGACACGATCTTTTAGTAATTCGGGACTTCCAGGGAGCATAGTCACTAATACTCGAAAGAGTATTCTCTTTCAAGATGGAAGCTTAGCTGATGTACTGGCTTGACGTGTGTCCGCAGGCTCATCGAGGCCTGGTGGAGATGGTAGCAGACTCCTTCCCGCTGCTCACGCGCCTCTGGCTGGCCTTCGACTCCGACAGCGACCAGCCCACCGTTGACCACATGTCCAATGGCGCGCCTGACGCGCCGCGGGACCTGGCAGCCTTGCTAGACCTGCGCCTGAGCCGCCTGGAGGTGCTGTGGCTGTCTGACGTGCGCGTGCCTTGCACCGTGCTGCAGGGGCTTGCCGCGGGTCTGCTACCCAAACTGCGGAAGCTGCGGCTTATGAACGTCCAGGTGGGCCGCACACGCTTCGAACTTCTCTGCAAGCTCAACAGTGTACTTGGTACACTCTCTTTAGCGGGTACTCACGAGTACACTCTCGTCCGCGTGTACTGACGAGTACACTCTCGTCAGCGTGTACTGACGAGTTCACTTTCTTCAGCGTGTGCTCACGAACACCCTCTCGTTGGAGTGTACTCATCTAAGCACACTCTCGTTTGAGTGTACTCATCTGCAGTGTGTGTACGCTAAACGTGTTTCAATATCTTGAAAGGTTATCGCTCACAGTAGGGTATTTCCGTGCATTTCGAAACGGAAGGAAGAAGAACACAAGTAAGTGCACAACTCCGTCCCCTCGCCTGAGGAGAGGGTAAAGGGCTGCCCCTTGAACCGCCGCTTCAGGCGAGGGGACAGAAGTTGTGCGCTTACTTGTGTTCTTCTCCCTTCCGTTTCAAGAGTCGTGGAAATATACCCATTTTGAGCATGCGAACTTAAACGGACAAACTATTCACAGAATCGCAATTCGTGCGGACAAATTCGAACACTGTGACGTAACTCAAACACGAAAGGAGTTACACGTCCGTTGCACATCCGTCGTCTCTAATTCATTTGAACACATGCACTGTAAATAATAAATTTGAAAATCCCAGGAAGAGCGCTCCTTACTCCATTGGTAGTAATCCCCGGAAGCATTGGTTAAAAAAAAGTTTTTAGGACTGTTTCTGCTGGAAACTTACTCTAACTGGAAACATTTGAGATCTTGGCATTTGCTCAAGGATACTACTGTTAAGTTAAACTATCATGTCCCAGAGATATTTGTCACAGGAAGATAATTTTGTCGTCAAAATTCAAGCACTATAAGATGAATGTATTTCCCAAGTTAGGGGCACCAACTACCATGTTACTTTCTGAGTTATGAAGGTTTATGTTAACTTTTAGTCGTTTCTCCCAATTTCTCCTCACGACAAAGGATTAGCTATCCAGTCTTCAGATTCTGGCAATTTTATCTATTTTTGCATAGGAAAAAGATATCGTTGGCAGATTTGAAGATATCAATCAAGAAGAGGCTAAATAACCTGTTTTACTAGGCCTTCTCTTATTTTTCGTCAAATTTAAGAAATTTTGCCCCATTTTGGTGTTGTTTGTGGTTTTTAGGAAAACTAAGGCAGTTATTAAAAAACGGGCAACGCTATCCTTTCCTATGTAAAAATAGATAAAATTACCTGAATCTGAAGACTGGGTGCTTAGTCCTTTGTCGTGAGGGGAATTTGGGAGAAACGACTGAAAGTTTACGTAAACCTCCTTAACTCAGAAACTAACTAAGGATTTCGGGCCCTAGTCTTAGGGCATGAGTTTATGTTACAGAAAGGAACTTTGACCCCTAAATTGAGACAACCGACACAAGTATTTAAAAAATGTGAAACAGCCACATGTTTCACCTTAATGAGATGTTCTTATCGACAACAAGTTCTCCAAACTCTGCCATGATTTATTTTTTTTCTAACGGTGTGCCTGACGCTTTCTCTGCCTGCAGCTGACGCGGCTGGGTCGTGCCGCCCTGGTGGCGCTGCGCGACGCGCGGCCCGCCCTGAGCGTCCAGAAGGAGGGCGTGACGACGGCACGCCGCAACCTGGGGTGGGGGGGCTTGGAGGACGAAGAGCCGCAGCGCTGCGACGATCCTGCCTGCCAAGCGCTCTCCGACTGCGAGGACGAGGACCCGGTCCCCACCGACGACGAGAGCGATGACGACGACAGCGACTAGACTAACCCTCAGTTGCGCTGCCACCTTCGTGGAAGACTCGATCAGTGTACCGGCCACCTGGCAGTCACTCTGCGCTCTCATTCCAGGAGCGCGACATCGCGTTGAAACGAATGTGACAAAATGTCTCGTTCCCTTGCGCATTGTGTCACGTTCGTTGACGTGAATAAGCTAATTTATGGCTGATGCACGTCCAAACGAACGGGACACAATGCTTAAAGGAACGTAACGTTTTGTCACATTCTTTTCAACGAGATGTCGCCCTGGGATGAGAGTGTTTGTCACCTGCACTGTGCCTCGCGAACATTGAAGGCCTCGCGTAGGCGTCGATCCGGTTTATGGAGTCTTTTTCTCCTACAATATTAAAGTTGTTTGCCTTTAAGCGGTGGCCTCTGGCAAGGCGCTGGGACGCTAGTGCGTCTTTTATCCACACACTGGGCATGTATTGTAATGTCATTTTAGGACCTTTTAATATCTCAATTGTTCAACCAATTAACTTTTCTCATGATGAAAGTACTGAATAATTTTTCATTGTTGTTCGTTTGAATTGGAGAATCTGTATACTTCTTGCTGTAGAAGTGCTTCCGACTGCATTAAATTGTGTTTCCATGTATCCTTGAGTTTTATTTCAGTAGTATGTCCCTTGATCGTATCGAGAGAGTCGCCTGCAACTGGCATACTTTGCCCTATCGCAAGTCACGTGAGACCCCAAAATCGATCTCTCGGAGTTGGCGCAATTTTTTAGGGGTCTCATTAAGTAGTGAAAGAGCTTTTTTAAAAAAAGGGCAAACTTTTCTGCTCGGCCCAAAAACCTTAGAACTCAAAGTTTGAAAAAAAAACCTCTGACAACTTAACTTGAACTCTGTTGACTTAATTCAACCTACCCAGTCCGGATTTGTCCATGAGATTTATCTTTTAAAGAAAGGACAGTGGTCCACAACCCGAATTTTTTTATATTTGGCCTCTGCAAAACAGCAGAGAAAAAAATAAAAGGTGTTCTTCTGCACTTAATGGCCCGCGATAGCGCCATTTTGAGTACGACCTCTTGGCTCTAATCTTACTTTCTGTCCACCTTTTTAAGACGAATAGATTAATTCAAGGTGATGTTAAGTACTTTGATGCGTCCTATTTGCAAATGCGTACATATGACAATTTTTCAAAATTTCGAAAAAACAAAAAACTATTTTACGAAATCTTTGTTTTCACGAAGTTGATTTGAATGATTTAGTGAAATTTGATAAGTATTGAAAACATCATAATCAAATATGTGTTAAGAAATGTGCTAAGTTTTTTAAACGAATTTCTATCAATGCGCAGAAACGTCAATGATTAAAGACAAAATGTTAATTGAAGCATAAAAGTGTGCAACATGCATTGTTCTTGATAGAGATAAGTGAAAAATAAAAAGCCTCATGAAACTGGGGACACATAACTTTTAATAATAATAAAAAAAACTTATTTACACAGAGAAACTACAAAAGACTAGCGATACATTGTATCGTCACGCATAAGGAGGAACTTTATGAATATGCATCCAACACTACCGCGTACATACAAGGAGGCAATAATGTAGGGTACCAATTGGTTCGGTACTATTTGTAGGAAAGTTGATGATGCCCAGACTGTCATCAAACGTGACAGTCACTCTTTAATCAGCAACTTAAGTCTTTGATCCAGGTCTACGACAGGTCTATGGATCCAGGTCTATTTATGTGTATGCCCAGAGCTGAGGGAACTGTTGTGGAAATTGATCATAGTCCACGGACCCGTACACCGAGTCGGAAACATGACTGGCCACAGAAGGAGTGTCTCTGGCCGAACCTGCCTCGGGGGATGGAGCTTGGAACATGTGGGGTGGGGTGTTTGGGTTACTGGGAGTGGAGCATGGGCCAGGTCCTCCCCAGCCAGGAACATGGGTCACCAAGAAAGGTTTCACGTAACCATTGTTAGAAGTTGGCTGATCATCTGTAGGATGGGAAGGAAAAGAAGCAATTAAATGAGTGGAAGAAGCAAAAGCTGAACCACACTGCTGGAGCAAATTAATGAGCGAGCGGTTATTTAGTGCTTTTACGTACCAAGTAGTGTGTAGTACTTGCTAAAAGCCTGGTCTTTGGGGATGTCAGGATAAAGGTAAACAAGATGTTGCAAATCGGCAATGCGGTCTGGCAAACTGCGGATGGCAAAGTCCTTGTGAGTGAAAGGTTGCAACATGAACACCTGAGAACCGAACTCTCCATCTGAAAAAAAGAATGAAAGAAAAGATGAAAAACAAAGTTTCTCTCATTGCTACATTGCTTGGACGGAATTGCCATTTAAAATTTGTTTTGACATACCTCCGACCCATGCTATGGTAATGCCACCAAGTTCTGAATCTGAGAATCGTAGAAGGAATGTGCTGGTCGTATTGGTTGCAACAAGCATGTCCTGTGCCTGTTTCTTTCGGATGAACCCCAAAATGAGCCTAGATGGACCAAAGACTCAATTTAAAACCTATCCACAAATTCTTAGAAACAATAATTGCAGTTTGACTTACCCATCCATCCAAGGCCCTCGTAAGTGTTCTCTTGTGAGTTTCATGACAGCATAAAACCATTCCCAAAATGTGAAGCTGCGGTCTTGGAGTGCTTCCTTACAAAATTGTGACCATGTAAGCATCTGGTTTTGAAGATCTGACATATTTGGGTTTCTGAAAACAAGTTTATGGGAAGGTCATCCTTCAAGTTCTCACAGCTTGCAATCAGTACATGGACTGGAGTCAGTGCGGGGAAGAACCGAACACCGGGGGGTGGGGAAAAATCACAGGCCCCACTTTTAGACGGGTCCCTTATTTTGAGACTTACTAACACTAATATGCTTAAGCACAAAGTAATTATTCCTAGCACGGCGTATTTCCTGGTCAGAAGGAATATGAAACAATTCAAAATAGTTCTAAAAAAAGGGGTGTGCTATTTGCCCCCGCTCCTGCAGAGTTCGATTTCCCCCCACTCTGATCCTATGGAAAATGATGTGAGTATTTACCCGAACGCCTTTTCTGCAAGGAAACACAAATTTGCTTCTGAAAGAGGTCTTCCAGTGGCAGAGTGGAATTTCATGTTGAGTGCTTCCGCTACGCGGCACCACGAGACTTTATCAGGTACAGCATAAGGAATGCGCCCCGGTTCCGCAAAAGCATTGTCCCAAGTGACAGTGGCCCACGCATGAGGCTCCTGGTTTCCATGTACAATGACCACAACAGGAAGAGATAGGGTCCACACCTGAAAAACAGAAACATGAAATTCGAGCATTGCAAAGAGCAAGACCATAGCAACGACCAGACTTACCTGGAAAACAAGTTCGCCACCACCAACTGAAAATTGAGATTGGAACAGGAGTGAAAATTTTTCATCCATTACTGACTCAGTTCCTTTTTTCTCGGCCCGCTTTATCTTCTTCAGTTGCATGTTTCTGAACAAAAAATATTTAGTTCAGTTCGTTATTAAATAACAAAACATTATTTTAGAAACTAGGATAGCAAACGACAGTGAAAATACACTGGTAAAACCAAGGCGTACTATTACGCCCTTCGTTAAGCGTACAGCCAGTACGCAATTCTTCAAGCGTACAAGAGTTCAGGCGCTCCTTTCTTCCTATCTAAATGCATGGGGGAATTGCCTTGAAGCGTAGTTACGCTTCAAGAAGGGCGTACAGCCTTGAAGCGTAGTTGTACGCTTGAATGAAGCGTACAATTACGCTTTAGTTTTACCAGTGATACCAACGCAGCTAACTCCGCACACATACTAGACCACGTTTGGCCCATGATAAAAGAAAGGCCCTCGATAAGCCTTTGAGATGATTCAGTGTGCTATGATCGCATCATTAATCGACCAAGGAAAACAGAAAAGTCAACCTGACATCAAACATCTTGAGATCAAAAGAGATAATAAAAATGAAAGAAAGGGTCACGGCTTGGGACCATTTTCGAGCTCATAATGATGGGTCAAGAAAAAACAGAATAACTTTGGATTTCAGTGCACAAAATTTTTTAATTCCAAATGTATTTTTGTAAACTTCATTGAATTTCAGGTAAGTTTCCTTGAATTTCGCTATGAACGTCACTAGTAATTGTGAAATTTCCATGAATTTCGAAAAAAATTCGTTAGTTTTGAAGAAATTGGACTTAAGTTCAAGATGGCTAATGAATTTCGATGCACATTTTTTTTGCAGTTCTTTCCCCTTGGGTCGAAATGACCTCCACGTTAGTAGTGTTCCCCTTGGGCATGGTCAAATCTTCACAGCAATTTACCCAGGAACTGGAAAAAGGGGATAGCTCCACTTTGACCATTTCTCAGGAGAAACAAAAAATGTTGGCAGGGAAAACTAAATCTAATCGAATGAATGCTTTAGATGATAACAAGCTCAAGAAGCATAAGCTAAGATGTTGAGGTAAACATGAAAATTGTCAGGTCACTCCGGAGAGGTTTTCTGTAACTCACAACTTCCCGTCAAAATAGGAAACACAGTTCCTAAAAAGAAGATGGATTAAGTTGACTTATTGATTCCTTTTACAGATTCATAAAAACAAATTTTGAATTATCTCTCATGGACAACATTTTCAATAGTCATGCTGAATACGGTTGAGTTGTTTCCATTTTCCGCTAAATTAAGAGCAGAAAACGGGTCGAATTGAGATATATTTTTTTCTATCTGGATTTTCTTTTTGACTGCTAGGAATTGAGTCAAATAATTTGGTGCAATAATGTAAACTATTCTAAGGCATAATAACTCAATAAAAACTCAATTTGGAGATAAATCAAATCATTCCCTTCTTCCGCTTTCTGCACTGGTAGAACTAAAGCGTAAATCTATGCTTGAGTCAAGCATACAGTTAAGTTGAAGACGTTACGCTTGAAATGAAGCATTCCCACATGCATTTAGATAGGGGCAATCTTGGTCGGTGAGTCTGTTATGTTTGATTTCAAGCATAAACTGATTACTCTTGAAAACTGAGGGTAATACTACGCTTTAGTTTCACCAGTGTGGATTCATTGACCGTACCACCACGTGCGGAATCCACCATGCTAGTTTTACCAGTGCACTCTCCGAGTTGAAAGCAGTTTGGCTAAGTACTATACCTGAAACTGACTGACAGTTGACGTGTAGCCTGATGGTACTCCATTGTTCCGGTGTTGTTCAAAATCTGACCACCGGCTTCTCCTTTAGCGACTATATCGTTTTTAAGAAGAGCGTTTGCTTGAGCTTCACTAATGATCGTTGCCTTAACCTACAGAGGACAGTAAAGAATCCATTAACTCCCCTACCATAGAAAAACAAGAGAGAGAGAGAAAAAGAGGAGGTTCACGTCATTTTACCTGGGGTGGGGTCATGTGAACATTCAGTTTCCCTCCAACCAGTAAGCGAACAGTAGATGTAAATCTAGTGTTGGTTTTCATAACTTGTGGAGGCTGCTTTTCTATAATAAAAGTGCTACAGCAAACGTTTCATTTTAGACCGATTTCAAGTTTATAGTAAGGAGAAGTTATGATCTGAAGTAATTTTGAAATTACCTTGTGACTAAAGATGAAAGAAGCTCAGTTACTTTTATATTTAAATTTGGCAAAACATCTACAACACCTGGTGGCTCCAATGGAAACTTCTGTTTCAAGCGCTCAAGTTCTTTGATCTGATGGCGGTTAAGCCAAATAATTTCAGCAAGACTTTCACACCTGAAATAAACAAAATTAGTGCATGTTCATTAACAAACTAACCTGACAGTTTGACCAGGCTAGTACACTACCATACCAATCTTGGATAAAATCCAAATTACTGTTGAACTGAGCCCCATTTCCTGCAAGCTGCTGCTCTCTTTTCCATCGAATCAATTCGTCATCTAACACCCTGCACTGCAAGGTTACAAGGTGCGTCACTGACTCTGAGAGTTTATCAGCTAGCTGAAGTCTGAGACGAAGAAGACTGGAAACCTAAAGATCGAAATATAAAACAGCACAGTTCAGTGAAACTAAGAGCAATGGGCAGAAGCATATAAGTGCACTATCCAAGACGTACCTTTTGATTTAAAGTTTGTTCTGAAATATCCTTCTGGCGCCTAACCGTTTTTTCCAATTCTATATTTTGTTGATTCATTAGCTGTGATTGCAGGTGTTGAAGATGAGCTACCAAAAGCAAAAAAGAATGATAAATAAAAAGTTGAAAGTCATGACTTGGAATGTTCATTATTCAACCTCGCTCAAAGAAATTGTATACCTTTCAGCTTGGTGCACTCATGGTAGTGGAGGGCAAAATTCTCTTGTTCCTGTTCCATCTGTCGAAGAAGTGTACCAGTTTCAGTAGTGCGATGCCGTAGGACATCTACTTGCTGTGCTATTTCAGCAGCTGCGTCAACCATTAAACCAGTTCCAGGTGTGATTGGGCCCATCGAAACCTAGAAGGAGAAAAACTACCAATAAACAAAGTAGAAACGACAGGGGCTAGTTCATTTCAGTTGAGATAAAAACAGCTTACATTCTCTACTTGCTGTATTACTTTTAACTCTGAATTCAGGCAATGGCGCACCACCCGAAACAAATCCAGAGGGCTTCGAGCATAGCGTTGCTGTAAACAAGACAAAGGTATGGTTACATTTCCGAGGTCCATGTGAAACAGCAACAGTTAACAGTGAAAACGAAATCTGGTTTGTCCAAGAGATTGGGCTTTTTTGGGGGAGGGCTCCTGGCAACTAACAGTGAATTTTCAAAATTATACCAATTTACTTTTCAGTGCAAAAATGGATTTGTCTAGATAAGACATTACAAAAAATGTTGTGACATATCAAAGGGTTGGACACACAGAATAAAAGTATTTGCGAAGTTTCCGCGTAGATTTAGTTTCTCGACTTTTGGCACTTTTGAAGCTCCAATAGTACTTCCTTAATTCGCAATTTCAGCCCACGACAATACTTGGTGACAATTTTGGTTTGTCTTTACGAGACGAATCCATTTACATTAAGAACCTGCACACTTTTGAAAATTCACTGTGAGTTCCCTGCAATCTCTTTCCTGCAGGTACCATGGTAAAAGGCACAAGCTCCTGGAAAAACCAGACTCCGTTTCCGATGTGTTAATTAATAAAAGGTACCTTGACAGCATTAGCAAAGTCCATCAGTTTATACTTTGATGTTAAGAGGTCCTCTGAATTCATGGAATTAGCCTTTGATTCGAGAAGGTGGATCAAATCCGCCACAATACTTGCAGCATACTGCTCATGATGAGGATTGTGTGTCTCAATCTCCAAACACCTGCAAACAAAACTAAATTAGAAAACTGCGGACTAAAAAAGTTACTGAAGAAATGCGTCAACACGTACCACATTTTTTCTTCTATCCATGGTGCTAAGAAATGACGCACTTCAATAGGAAAGCGGTCAGTGTAAATGGCTCGAACCTGCTGTAGTGCCTCAGCAGGGAGTGATTGTGCTTTGGCCCACAGCGCCATTTCGGAACGATATTCACTCGGCCCGTTCACTGCAAAAAACACAGCACTGTTATGAATTCCAGCCGCAACAATACAGGACATTTCAAATATGCTACCAACATGAGGTTCCAAATGTCGAATCCAAAAGAGAAACTTGACGCTTAAAACCTGAGGAAGTTGAGCACCGTGTAAGGTACAAACTATGCCCTTACTAAAGGGCATAAACGATTTGCACCCACACTATAATTCAAAGGGTGAGACATCTCACCAATTTTCGGCGATACAAAATATATCACCGAAAATAAACGTCGTACACGAACGCATCACCAAAAAAATGATCGTACACGCATGTATCACCGAAAAACGGGTCGTACAAAAATTGACTTTTTGTCCTTTGTTAAAGAGTATTTTACACAGCAATAAAAAGTACTATTTCCTCAATATTTATGAAGGATTTTGTTCGTTATATTGACATAAAGTCAATTTGCTATTGACAAAGAGTCAATACGCAATTGACTTAAAAAATTGTCATTAATTGATGACAATTGAGTCTTTATAGTGAACAATATTGTACATGGTTACAAAGGAAATACTACATATCATTGCTGCTTAAAACTACGTAAGCAAAGGACTGAATGTTAAAAATGGAGAGAAAAAAGTCAATACGAGTCTGAGAGTGTAGGAAATTGGGAGTGCATAATACGAAGCAATTCTTCGCGCACAGGACTTACCTCTAACGCTGTTTCTTGAGCTCGCGGCCACGGCGTAGCACAGACACTTTCTCTCTCCCACGTCCTGCAGGTAGATTAGGGTACGAGGACGAAGCTGGTTGGTACAGAGCAGCTGCACAGCCGCACCGCGGACACGACGCAAGCAAGATGGATACTGTCGTGAAAGCAGGCTGGCTGCCTGCTGGGTGCTGGGTTGCCAGACACGGCCTACCAGGCCTACCCGGCGGGGATTGCCCGCACACTGTCCCGGCTAAGCTGAGCTCCGTCCAGCGACGGGAAGGGTGCGCGGCCCGGACCGCAGGTAGGCCGGACGGGTGTTCGAGCCAGCCGTCTAGCGTCGCGCGCGCCATCTCGTGAGCGGTAGAAAAACCCTACCTCGCTCCAAAACATGCTCCACGCTGGGCAGCCCCGTGCCGCCACCGTATCTTCCTCCACCTCCACCGTGCCGAGCGTGTTCGAATGCACCCGGCCAGCTCCACAGACCCCACCGCTGTTTCTCCCGCAAATCTTCCCAAAGAGATGCCGAAGTGCCCCCGAAGTTCGCCCGAAGTACTATCAAGACCTGCCAACAAGCTTTACTCAAAAACCAAGAGCCAGAAACATAGATTTGAACAGGCTGAATGCAATCAGCCTTTATTTTTTCAGCCTTTTTATTTTTTAACCTCGAAATGTTGAAGTGAAAGGTACCGACCAATCAGGGAGCGGCGTAACACATGGATCCCAGCCGGGCATGAAGCAGTTGGTCTATGGATATAGTTGATTGTCTATGATTTTGGTGCACGGAACTATTTGGAAACTAAACGCGTGAGACCCACACAGAGTATTGCCGTGGGTTCCTCAGAGCTGTAGGTGGATGATTACACATATAGGTAGAATCGTTTCAAATACAACGCAAAATAAATGAAAACTGTTAGTAAGGTAGCCGCCAAGAGCGCCCTCCGTGGCCAACGGACCTTGCAAATGTCTTTTGGGAGGGGTTGCCGCGGGTCTGAAGAGGCTGTCATGGTGGCCCCCGTTACAGTGGATCTCACGGCTGTCTTTGCGAGGGTGGCGGGATTCCTCAGATACTTCCGCGAGATCAGTGGCACTCCCGCGAGTAACTGCTAGTCCCGCGACACCCCCTCGACAGGTCCTGCCGCCCTCAATGGCACCGGGTGCCTACCTCGTAGGCGCAAAATCCAATTACAAAACATCAATTTTCTCCGTACCGAGACGTTTGCGCCCACTAGTTCAGTGGCGAAAAATGGTCCCCTAGGGATGCCCAAACTGCCTGCAAATTATTGACACATTGAGGAAACTCACCCTGTACTTCGTAACTCCACGCTAAGCATAGGCGTTTGTAAGTGTGTACTTGCCAAGCATGCAAAGTGTGTACTTGGACAAGCATGTGTTTGGAAGTGTGCATTTGCAAACAGGCATTTGTGAGTGTGTACTAAGTAGACAGTTAGGTTTGCAGTGCATGCTGAAAATAGTTTGTTGAAACTAGCTGCTTTTCTTTGCAAGGCCTAAAATAGTTTGTGAGATTATCAGAGCGCGCCGGCCAGCCGGCCGACGACGCTACCTCTGCGCCCGGCGAGGGGTCGCGTAATACCTCGGCCACTCGGGATTTGTGAGAGACTGCGTCAGCGTTGCCAGAAGTGGCGCGGAGTCTCGGCAGCGACCAGTGGCCAGTTGGCGTAGGGCGCTTGCCGCTCGGCCGGCGGATTAGGGACTTTCCTGCGCTCCGCGGCCCGCGGCCGGCGGTGGCGGAAGTTTCCAAGTACAGCTTAGACCTCTGCGCCGTTCCCACGGTCGTACTACCTGGACTGCCGTTGTCTAGCAACGAGGGGCAAACAACTTCGTCAAAATTTGTACACTGTTATTTCAAATTCACGTTATTTCAACGCTATTTCGCGTTTTTTCATGTTATTTCGCGCGTTACTTCACCGTTATGTCAACGTTATTTCACCGGTGTTTCACGTTATTTCAAAGAAAATGTACACCAAAATTCAAGTTGTTTGCCCCTTGCCTCACTATGCGAGCTAAACAAATCTCAGGTATGCTGCGTGCTCTTCAACCTTGAGAGGAGGGCGCCCTCCTAGTATCAAGCTTCAACGCAGGACGGATGCGTTTTTGAGTCGTATCTCGTGCAAAACAAATTTCTATTTATCTGCAGAAACGTTCGTTAATGAACAAATATAAAATGTCAATGGAAGGATGAGAGTTTTCTTCACTTTGAAATCTGCTAGAAACTCTGCAAACATGGCACACAATTTAAAATGTACGTGTGCCTGAATGCTCACAATTCTAACACTACAAACCTAACTGTCTACTAAATACACACTTACAAACGCATGCTTGCAAGTACACACTTACAAGGTAGGTTTACGCCAGACTGCGTCTTGTCGCAACAGGCTTCGCGCCTGGCGTACCTACCTTGGCCTGCGACGCTATCCTGCCTTCGGCAGGCATTAGCTTGTCCGTCGGCGGTTGCTTCTTACTTGTTGCATGGTGGGGGGCTCCGCCCCCCAGACCCCCCTTCATTCTAGATAGAGTTCCTTCATCTACAGATAACACGATCTTGACCCTTGTAACTTTTTAACTCGTCGAAGGGGGGGGGCTCCGCCCCCCAGACCCCCCTTTCTTCAAGACAGAATTGATCTGCCTCCAGGAAACTCGATTTTTCGCCGTTTTAAGGTGTTTTTCGCCTATAAAAACAGAACCACGTGAGCTAGGATAGTGAAATTTCGCGTGTGCCGAGCCAAGAACATACCTAACAAGCCCGCAAAATCTCAGCCAGATCGGCCGAGCCGTTCAGGAGGAGTAGTGTACACACACAGACACACAGACAGACAGACAGACAGAAAAAGTTTTTCAACCCCACTGGAGTAACAGGCTTCGCTATCGCTCAGCCAACAAACGCATGCTTGGCCAAGTACACACTTACAAATGCATGCTTGCAAGTACACACTTACAAACGCATGCTTGGCCAAGTACACACTTACAAATGCATGCTTGCAAGTTCACACTTACAAAAGCATGCTTGACGCCGTATAACTCCGTGGGTCAAGCATTAGGGTGTTTCACTTTTGCAAAAAGTTTCGAAATCTCATGACCGCCGGGTGAAAATTGATTCTTTATCAAAAAAAAAGTTTACGTGTTTCGGGGTTTTCCAAATTTCGCAAAATTAGAGGTCGCTCAACGCCTTTGAAAAATTTAGGCTGTATTTACTTAAGTCCAAAATGCTGAAATCGCCAATTATTGACCGATTTGGACCATTCTAGGCTCATTTGAAAGGGTTTGAGCTGTACTTTAAGAATCTGCGGCCAGAAATTGGATTGGAGTCGTTTGTTGGGCTACAGAGCCACGTTTGTGTTTTTCAAGGCCCTAATTGCAACTTTGCGCGACTGTATCTTCGGCAGTTATAAACCGATTTTCCCCCGCGATATCTCAAAATGACCGTCAGAGTCTTTTCTTTCCAACGGTGTGCTTGGATTGTCATTTGAAGCATTTGCCTAGTTTCTATGAGGCTCGAAGTAAAGATATGCGACAAATTTTCATGTTTACCGTACACTTCTTGGACGAAAAGTGTACTGACGAGAGCCGATCTTCGCTTTCACCCCTATTTTCAGTTGCGCATGATGCTTTTACCACCTCAAAGCCGGCTGGTGCTGCTACAATGGCTCCAGGGACATATAAATAGCGTTCGATGTTGAAATCTCATGTTAAGGTCAGTGCTTCTACACCTTCTATGGTTTAACGTCTCCCCGCGACATTCCAAAACAGACTTCAAATTCACATCTTTCCGAAACTGTGGTTAATCTTTAGTTTAGTCTATTTTGTATCAAAAGGTGGTCAACGCCTTTGTGGGTAGGGGTCTATTTGACCGGTTTCTACCGATTAGAGCTAGATAGCAAGCAACACTCTTTATGGTTATAAAGATACATTTTCAGGGGATTTCACTGTGCACCACTGTCTGTGGACCAATGCATTTTGCTGAGCTAAAAGTCAACCTGCCCATAATGATTTTCACCAACACTTCACTGTAAAGATAAATATTCGGAATATACGAAGAAGCCTCTGGTGAAGATTTTAGCCAGAGCACTTTCGTGAATTCACGAATACTTGGTAATTTAGAAATGTTCTTCGTAAATCCACGAACATTCATCGTGAATTATTCAGATTATTCGTATATACACGAAGATTCAGTTTTTACGAATAATATTTGCGAATTTACAAAGAAACCTTTGACTACAGTTTTGCCCGAGGCAGCTTCGTTTATTCCCAATTTATTTCTTACAGATTGTTCTAAATGAATGCTTGAATTTGGATTTGGAGAACTCGCCACAGTCTCTCCATCGTCCAGACTCCGTGCTCCACCCCTCTTACACGACTTTTCGGGTCTAGGGTCAGTTGGGGTAATAATGGGACAGTTTGAATAATAAGGTTTCCACAACTCAACAATGGCGAGTTGGAGTGTTTCTAATGCTTTTAAAGGATAGGGTACTCTGTTCCACACCATTTGGCGCTAAAATAAGATCAAAAAGTCATTTAATTTTGCAGTTGTGTAAAATAAACTGTGAAAATTCGGACGTGTAAGTTTGGGGTAATAATGGGACACGCTGGGGTAAAAATGGGACAAGGGCTTAGCAGAGGTAAAACAGGCCTCAAAGTTTTCCAAATAGACACCACTTTATAAAATTCGATCCGTCTCAACACGAGGAACAATAAATGTCTTCACATGCCACCGGTTCGGATGAAAAATGAAGAGGCATTGCGCTTCAAAAGAACTTGGGTGCAATTTGACCTTTTGCGACTATTTGTTACTTTCAAAGCCTATTAACTTTTTAAATATCCGTCCAAACCCATAGCATGTGTTGACATTTTTTGTTTGTATTGTCGAGGCCTATCTATTTCCATTCAGAGATGTCAATTCGAACAACTTTGAAAATTTTCTCCCCAAAGGCCACAATTTACCATTAACCAAGTGTCCCATTTTTACCCCAGGAGTGTCCCATTTTTCCCCAAAGTGGTGTCCCATTTTTACCCCACAGGAAAATTCTACAATTGCAAGTTAACGAATGCATTGATGTCAAAATGAGTTGGTGGCTCGAAATCCTCGTTCTTTTAGCTTTCCAACACACTATAATACTTCACTTTTCTGTTTATGGGGGTTTCTGTAGTGTTCTAATTAGATGACCTCTGCGGCAAATTTTTCCAACCTTTAGAAAACCCATAATTGCCATGTTTCGCTTGATTTCTTAATTCTCATTTCTATGAGCAGTTATTGTCCCACCGAATGATTAATGGAATACTAGACACCTCAATGAACATTTTAAGCACAAACATGTCATTGTAGGACGTTTTAAAATGCCAAAACTCGTCAAGTTTAGAAAGTGTCCCATTTTTCCCCAAGTTTTCAGTGTCCCATTATTACCCCAACTGACCCTATAGGACTTCGGGTCAGTGAGACAGGAAAATCAACAAAATTCAATCGAATAATCTGAATAATTCACGATGAATGTTCGTGGATTTACGAAGAACATTTCTAAATTACCAAGATTATTCGTGAATTCACGAAAGTGCTCTGGATAAAATCTTCACCAGAGGCTTCTTCGTATATTCCGAATATTTATCTTTACAGTGAAGTGTTCACTGTTAAAAAATGGTTGTATAGAAACAATCAGATGAGTGAAAATTTAGTCGTTCCAAAACAAAGAATTTTATCATGAACCAAAGCAAAAGAAATGTGGTTGAATCTTGTAAGCGACAATTTGTCGTTGAAGAACAAAGTTCTGTTATCACACTTAACAATACTTTTGGTATGGAAACAATATCTTTTGCAATTATCTGCTCAATTAAAGCATATTATGAATAATCATCTATTGGTCTTCTTAAGTCATAGCAACATTAATATTATTAAAAAAAATATAAGGCAAAATAAATTTAGCGACAAAAGTACTCCATGAATACTAGTCCCAGACATTACAAAATCTTTATCGACCTACAAGACTTGTTGTTGACCAACAACATTTGTTGCTGGTCAACGACTTGTATTTGAAAGTAGACTGCTAATGTGTTATTACAAGTTAGTCGTTGTGAAATTATCCCTTAGTCCCAGTACGAGTTTGGTTTAACAAGCTATTCGTTCCACAACAAATCTTGTCGCTAAAAAAATTAGCGATAAATGTGTCGCTAAGTTACGACAAAATTTTTGTCAGTGTTGGTGAAAATCATTATGGGCAGGTTGACTTTTAGCCCGGCAAAATGCATTGGTCCACAGACAGTGGTGCACAGTGAAATCCCCTGAAAATGTATCTTTATAACCATAGAGTGTTGCTGGCTATCTAGCTCCTAATCGGTAGAAACCGGTCAAATAGACCCCCACCCACAAAGGCGTTGACCACCTTTTGATACAAAATAGACTTACACTAAAGATTAGGGTGGGCCGTGAAACACGATTTTTCGATATCGCAAACGTAATAGCGCGCCAAAGTTGCTTCATGGCATTACAAACTCAACGCGATCTGGGGCAGGTCTGTAACTTGAAGCTTGACCCTCGCGCATCGACGTTGAAAATTCGAAAATTCGACTTTTACGGGTTTTTCTGAAAACATCCATAGAAACTGAACCAGATGTCCAAATGATGTTTGCGAGACGGAAATGGAAACGTCTGATCATGCTTTATCAGTTTAAGACCACCGGGACCCTCTCCGAGCAGTAGGGGACCGATGGGAGAAAATTACAAAATTACAATTTTTTTTCCGTTTTTTACAAAATGCAAAAAATTTCCTTCAGGGTTTGATACGGCCATCCTGACGTCACCGTACCCGAACCATACCCCGAATCATCTTCTCTAAGGGCCCCTTTCCCGTTTTAAGTGCACGGGGTACTCCGGGATCCGTTCACACGTTAGGATTTGGACGCCATAAACACATGTTTTCCTAAAAATGCAAATTATCGGTACTTAGGGCACTCGTCTCGTCCGTATGAACTGTAGTGACTCAAAATCGATTACTAGATGGTATCTTTGCGTCACAAGCACCTACAACCTATGCGATGGATAAGAATACAGTCAAACTCCTCGTTTTGTCCCTCTTCTGGGTCCTTCGTTTTGTCCCGGAGTCATCCCCACCACCGTGGCGCGGGTCGCGCCCCGCCGGCCGATGCCTGACGTCGCTGGCCGGCCCGGTAGGGATTACGGCGGCCTAATCCGCATCGGCCGGACCTCCGTTTTGTCCGCAGCAACTCCCGGGTAGAGGGACAAAACGAGGAGTTTGACTGTAACCTGTATAAACGTGCAGCGACCTTCTGTCGTTAATCCAGACGAGCCAAATACGTTTTAACTCTAGATTAACGAGATTTACAGTGTAAATAGCGTTCTAAAGGTCTCTTCGTCCGATTGTCTATATACTGGTGGGTTCCTGCGACGCAAAGACACCATCTAGTAATCGATTCTGAGTCACTGCAGTTCATACGGACGAGACGAGTGCCCTACAGTGCCCTGAGTACCGATAGTTTGCATTTTTAGTAAAACATGTGTTTTTGGCGCCCAAATCCTAACGTGTGAACGGATCCCGGAGTACCCCTTGCGCTTAAAACGGGAAAGGGGCCCTTAGAGAAGATGATTCGGGGTATGGTTCGGGTACGGTGACGTCAGGATGGCCGTATCAAACCCTGAAGGCAATTTTTGCATTTTGTAAAAAACGGAAAAAAATTGTAATTTTGTAATTTTCTCCCATCGGTCCCCTACTGCTCGGAGAGGGTCCCGGTGGTCTTAAACTGATAAAGCATGATCAGACGTTTCCATTTCCGTCTCGCAAACATCATTTGGACATCTGGTTCAGTTTCTATGGATGTTTTTAGAAAAACCCGTAAAAGTCGAATTTTCGAATTTTCAACGTCGATGCGCGAGGGTCAAGCTTTAAGTTACAGACCTGCCCCAGATCGCGTTGAGTTTGTATTGCCATGAAGTAACTTTGGCGCGCTACGTTTGCGATATCGAAAAATCGTGTTTCACGGCCCACCCTACTAAAGATTAACCACAGTTTCGGAAAGATGTGAATTTGAAGTCTGTTTTGGAATGTCGCGGGGAGACGTTAAACCATAGAAGGTGTAGAAGCACTGACCTAAACATGAGATTTCAACATCGAACGCTATTTATATGTCCCTGGAGCCATTGTAGCAGCACCAGCCGGCTTTGAGGTGGTAAAAGCATCATGCGCAACTGCAAATAGGGGTGAAAGCGTAGATCGGCTCTCGTCAGTACACTTTTCGTCCAAGAAGTGTACGGTAAACATGAAAATTTGTCGCATATCTTTACTTCGAGCCTCATAGAAACTAGGCAAATGCTTCAAATGACAATCCAAGCACACCGTTGGAAAGAAGAGACTCTGACGGTCATTTTGAGATATCGCGGGGGAAAATCGGTTTATAACTGCCGAAGATACAGTCGCGCAAAGTTGCAATTAGGGCCTTGAAAAACACAAACGTGGCTCTGTTGCCCAACAAACGACTCCAATCCAATTTCTGGCCGCAGATTCTTAAAGTACAGCTCAAAACCTTTCAAATGAGCCCAGAATGGTCCAAATCGGTCAATAATTGGCGATTTCAGCATTTTGGACTTAAGTAAATACAGCCTAAATTTTTCAAAGGCGTTTGTAAGTGTGTACTTGCAAGCATTTGTAAGTGTGTACAAAGTAGACAGTTAGGTTTGCAGTGAAACTGTGCCCCTGTGTTAAGGGCCCACACTGACAAAAATTTTGTCGTAACTTAGCGACACATTTATCGCTAATTTTTTTAGCGACAAGATTTGTTGTGGAACGAATAGCTTGTTAAACCAAACTCGTACTGGGACTAAGGGATAATTTCACAACGACTAACTTGTAATAACACATTAGCAGTCTACTTTCAAATACAAGTCGTTGACCAGCAACAAATGTTGTTGGTCAACAACAAGTCTTGTAGGTCGATAAAGATTTTGTAATGTCTGGGACTAGTATTCATGGAGTACTTTTGTCGCTAAATTTATTTTGCCTTATATTTTTTTTAATAATATTAATGTTGCTATGACTTAAGAAGACCAATAGATGATTATTCATAATATGCTTTAATTGAGCAGATAATTGCAAAAGATATTGTTTCCATCCCAAAAAGTATTGTTAAGGTGATAACAGAACTTTGTTCTTCAACGAAAAATTTGTCGCTTACAAGATTCAACCACATTTCTTTTGCTTTGGTTCATGATAAAATTCTTTGTTTTGGAACGACTAAATTTTCACTCATCTGATTGTTTCTATACAACCATTTTTTAACAGTGCAGGGGCCCAGGACCCACACAAACTCGGTCAGACACGCTGTTCTGAAGTGTGTGCACTGTAAATCCAAAGGCAATACTTTTAGTACCTTTTTTGGCAACGGCCTTACGGAAAAGTGTTGCCTTCAAAACGGCGATACACGAAAGTATCGCCAAAATTTGGCGTATTTTGGAGTATTGCCACGATTTGGCAATAAACGTCGAACAAATCAAGGGGAGAAGACCTTGGTTAAATGCCGTGGTTTTGGCAATATCCAAAAGTATTGCCAAATTTTGGCGATACTTTTTTGTATTGCCGTTCTGAAGGCAATACTTTTCCGTACGGCCGTTTATTGGCGATACTCAATTGTATCGCCAAAAAATGTACTTTAGTATAGCCGTTGCATTTGCAGTGTGCCCAACAACAGTGCATACAGGCTCAAATTTTTATCTGTGTGCCATGCACACACTTGCGTTTTCAGACAATGTGTATTAACATTACCTCCCAGTAGGATTATGTTCTAGAAAGATCTTGTTCCACGGACTAGGGTTGCGGCTGCGGCGGCAGAGACCGCTCGTCTCGCTCAGCTGACTGCTGCATTGGCGACCGCCGCATTGGCGACCGCCGCATTGGCGTCGGCCGGCTGGAGCCGCTGGCCCACCCCAGAACTCTGCTAGGGACCGTTGATAATTATGGAGTTCGATTTAAATTTTCCACCTTACTAATTATAACATCTGCTTGGTTCTCATATGAATAGTAAAAGCGATGATCAAAGTTATATTTCACTCGTATGTATACCAAATGGATTTTGAGAACAGCCTAATAAAAGATAGTTACTTTAAATGCTCATGGGTAATCGATCCACAAAGGAGGGTACAAATGCCCATTAATTCTGAAGAAAATAAAATGTGTTTCATACTTTCAAAGTTTTACTCTCCTTGGCTGCAACAAACCGCCGCTTTTCAGGCTGTAGTAAAAACCTACAGTTTTAATCACAGTTGATCACTATAATTATCCTTCCTGGCGAGTGAGTGCAAGGAACGGGTTTTAGCTGACTGCAACATTTATCTGTGCTTTGCGAGAATGCGGCGGAACTCGCTGTGGATGAGGGAGCAAGCAGCCAGATCTCCTCGTTCGTTGAAAATTTCCAAATCACCCCTCCAAACGAATTTTTCCAAACCAGATCCTAATATGTCTCCCATTTGATCGTAGTTAGTCGATCCGTTTATTACTTCGTAGTGTCCCTGCAAGACAGCGTAAAGAGAAAAACTATAACAACTTTGCACAAGGCAGGTCTACGCCCACTGCAAATGCAAAGGCGATACTTAAGTACACTTTTTGGTGATACAATTGAGTATCGCCAACAAACGGCATTACGGAAAAGTATTGCCCTCAGAACGGCGATACACAGAAGTATCGCCAAAATTTGGCGATACTTTTGGGTATCGCCAAAACCGCGGCATTAAACTAAGGTCTTATCCCCTTGATTTGTTCAATGTTCAATGCCAAATCGTGGCAATACTCCGAAGTATCGCCAAATTTAGGCGATACTTTTGTGTATCGCCGTTTTGAAGGCAATACTCTTCCGTAAGGCCGTTTATTGGCGATACTCAATTGTATCGCCAAAAAAGGTACCATAAGTATTGCCTTTGGATTTGCAGTGCCAGACCGTGGTTGTGTGTTGTTATCGTCGTCGTCTTTGTTCGATTTGAACAAAGACGACGACGATAAAAACACAACCACGGTCTGGCGTACACCTGCCTTCTTTAAGAAGGATAGGGCACTTCGGAGAAGAGCTGGAGGGGAAGTTGAGAAGAAATCAAGAAGAACAAAGTATGCGAAATGTGTAAGAATGAGCGTCTGCGTCGCCGTTCTGCCGCTTTCGCAGAGTTAGATTATTATACAAGTACGGCGTTTCTTCTTCTTGATTTCTTCTCAACTTCCGGTGTAGCACTTTTCGGAAGTACCCTAATTGAACCGGAGTTCCCGACTTAAGAGGGTACTGTAAGAGAGCCGCATGAGCAAATAATTCGTTGTGTTACAAAAAACTTTTTCCACAAATCCAAAAGCGTACCATCAACGGGGGTAACTTCGGATACTTTTTCACGTTTTTTCTAACGCCACACACACACAGAACCCTGCAAAGAAATGCTCTTTGTAAAACAAAGAAACCGAAGGCTTCGCAGCCTACGAAGGGAATCGTTTGTAAGATGAACGATTTGTTTTGTAATTCAAACGAAAAATCCTTTGCAGCCTACGAAGAACTTCGCAGCCTGCGAAGGCTTTTTCTTTGCATTACGAACAAAATCGTTCGTATTTCAAACGATTTCCTTCGCAGGCTGCGAAGTCTTCGTTTTCTTTGTATTACAACGAGCAGTTCTTTGTAGGAATTTATCTGTGCAGGCGAGACTTTCGACCTAGACTATTGGATCCTAACTATGTTTAAGTTTCACACCTTTCTCATAATTTCATGCTGGTCTGGTCATTTGCCTCGTGTCGTTTAGAGGGAGGGCCCCTAAAAAGAATTAAATTATCTACATCCCATGCATCTATTGCAGCTGACGGAAAAAATAAATTGTAATGACAGCATCTAGACCAAGAATTCAGGCTTTGGATTCCTGATACTATAAAGCAGTTTAAGAAGGCATCTCTTTTAATCATCGGCGCAACATCCGAAGGATAGGTTATGTCAGAAATCGGGTCACATGACTCCTGGGCAGCTAGGAATGCTGAAAACACGGGAAAATGACTGAAGAAAATAGGGTCAGGGCGGGGAAAACCGGACACCTGCAAGTTGGGGAAGAAACGCACACCGCACTTTCGCCACAAATTTACCTGTTTTGGGACGTGCAAAGTATTCAGTATTGCTTATTGATGATCTGCTAGATTGCGTTTAAGAGGAATTTAGCCTACTTGAACCGGAAAGTATTCAAAGTCACCTTTAAACGAGGTCTCGTTTAAAACACCTTAAAAACTTTCAAAGTTGGTGCCCGCAATATCTCTTTTGAACGACTTTCCGAGCCTACTGTGACGAATATTCTTATTGTAAACGAAAGTTGGAAGTGTGGAGCCCAAGATACGTTCAAATGTTTTAGCAGATTTCCAGCTGGATTACATATGAAGGGTTAAATACGAAACGGGGAAAAACCGTACACTGGTGCGGGGAAAAATCGAACACCTCTTTTTTCTATAATAATCGATGAATTGCCCTAACATCCCACCAAAGTGGTCGTAACAAGTGTATTTTAGCATTTCCCAACATTTAGTGGGAAAACAAACACGGCTGTTGACGATTTCATACATTTTGGTCATTTGACCTAAAAAACGTGCCGCCACGGACCCCCCAACAATGCTGCGATGATTTCTGTCTACCTAGGAATACTCGTGCGCCTGCTTCAGTGGGTATCGCAAGTGTTACCCCCAAATATCGTTCCCAAGAGATTTCTGACCTACTTTCATAGCTTTTTGTTAAATTAAAGCCTATGTCCGATTTTTCCCCTTAGGTGTTCGATTTTTCCCCGTTTCGACGGGGAAGAATCGCACACTGTTTTTTCTCATTTATTCCTGAATGAAGCCGCAAACGCACTCGCTGAGGGTTGAAATGTCTTTCTTTGAGGCTCGATCAACAGACCCAACGGATACATTGGCTAAAGATAGTCAATGAGAGTCAAAATCGAGAAAGATTGCAAAACGTCCAGTTCTTCCCCGCCCTGACCCTAAGCCCAAAGATACCCTGTATTTGCTGAGCGAAGCGAAGCACCCTGTTGGGGAATTCAGACATCCCAATTGTCCCCCCCCCCCCGGATACCTTAACTTTCCTAGAGGTATCTTATTTTTTATCTTAATCCTATATCCGTATATGCATACATAGTCCGAGGTCAATAGCCCAGAGAAAATAGTCTGAGCTCCATAGTCCAAGCTCCACATTTACATTTTAGGACGCACGGGACGTCCCACCCCCTCTCAGGTCATATGACCTTACCCCCAGGCACGCCCCGCCCCTGGCTTTGTCTGCAAGTTGTATTCAAAAGTGGATGCTACTGACCAAGTCGCTTAATGGACAGCATAGCTGAAGCTTCTAAAGACGCACCTGTTTGATGGGACATTCGGCTTTAGGATGTATGCTTTCCTTCAAAGGTGTCCAGAAAACTCCTTTAATCTTGATAAGTTGACAGAGCGCCGTGGTCCACGTAAAGGAGTTGAAATACTCACAGGTTGTCTCCGAAACCGTCCCAATACACCGATGAATCCTGATTAAAACCTGATACAGATCAATGTCACCTTTCAACATGCATTCAAACTTGAGAACCCGGTAACTCTCTTGAAACGTCATGAGGAATGTGTTCGCATTGGGGTATTCCAGATCCGATTGACAGTGTTCGAAGTTGACCATTGACGATTTGGCTCATTTTTGGCTCAAATCGAGGGGTCCTATTCAAAAGATCTTATCTGGGCGTTCCCCCCAAGACAATCTTATCTTTAACGCAGGCGAATTTCACTCAGCATCATTTGATACAGCTACAAACCAAAATAATTTGTTATTAAATTCACTGAAATGTGAAGATAGAAGATCAAAGAAAGCAATGGTACATGTAGAAATATATGCCGCTCACTCTCGCACCCGTCTCAAATGGTCAAACTGAGTGAAATTCGCTTGCGCTTAAGATAAGATTGTCTTGGGGAGAACGCCCAGATAAGATCTCTTGAATAGGAGAATAGGACCCCTCGATTTGGCTGGTAAAGGCACCCTGTTTTTGCCACTGTTAAAAAGGATTGTTATATGACAACAACAGTTACCAACCTCGACTACGCCGTTGTTTATAAACAAGTTTTCTTGTTTAAAGACGACGCATTTGTTGCTAATTATATGACTGACTTATAATTATGTTTTAAAACAATCTTTTTCTGTGTACAAACAACCCTGACAATCTAACTAGTGACTACTGGGGGTCACCGGGACTCTACTAGGTCTGTGCGACTTAATCGACAGTCAAAATTAAAGCTCATACAGCTATCAACATCTTGTTGATGAACGACGTAATCATCAGTTACCAACTTAAGTCATCTGTAAACAACTGCTGGTCCATTTAGAATACCAGCAACATATTTACTGCTAAATAACAATCTTTTTAACAGTGTGGGCATGCCAATTTGGAGTACATGCACAAATTCTGCACTGTACGCATGCACACAGTTCAGCTGACCGTGCCTACGACCACTTCCAGCACGAGGCCCACGTTGTGGTGCCCATGGCCGCACCGCAATGCCTGTGACAGGACGCGGTGCATGATCCTACCTTGTAAATTAATCACATTAAGAAATATGCCGACCCTGATTACACACCTTTGATATCGAATTGATGTCAGTGTCCAAAGTAGCATTTGGTATGTCAACGTATTCTGAGCCGTCGTCATGAGCCACGATTTTTATGGCACCAAAGCGCAAGAAGTGGTTCTTGTTTGGACACGGCCAAACGCCGTGGATTTTTGGAACGACTCTAGTGCGCTGCATTCGTCCTGTTGCCTGCTGCACAAAGGAAGGGAGGCGAGGCTGGGAATCCATGACCACTTTTTTCTCGTCCTACCCCGAATCCGGCTCTGTGGTTCGAATACCTCCCTGCATAAGGTTTGGACTCCTGCTATCCCTTCCTCCCAATCGAACGAATCTGTGATATACAATTGCAACTGGCTCAGGTTCACAGAGCACTTTGCCGAAAGTGCACAATGGTCCTGAATCTCGGTATACGTCTCCAGTATACGGCACTACACTGCGAGAAAAAACTACGAAGAATCCTGTTTATTTTTTCGCAGCGTAAAAGGTCTCATCAAGATCTACTCGATTCAAGAATTTAAAAAAATTCTTGGTCAACACTCTTTTTTGCAGAGTATGTCATTATTCTGTTCAAAAAGTGTAATTGTCAACAGCATTTTTATCAAAATTATTTCCTTAGATAGGTCCTTTCTGCAGAAACGTTACAATTTCTATGTCCGTGCCCCTTTGTGCCATAGAGAGACGCGGTTTGTGCGATGAGATGGTGCTTTTTGTGCTTCGGAACGATCCACTATTGGGTTCGAAAATATTTGAGGCTTTCAGGTGGCCGAGACACGGGACAATCGTTCCCGAGTCCTCTATTTTCTAAGGAACTTTACTTACATACTTTAACTTTATCTTCCTGACAGTCATAAAAATTTTGAAGCTTCGTGCCAGCACAGAAATAACTTTTATCCCTACGTTTTTACCTCCCAATAATTCACCTGTTCACTTTATTGAATTTGGCACACCACAAGAGAAACGCGAAGTCGCATCCTCAATCTAAGGGCTGCAATGGGTTCCGAATGGAAAAACACTGCTAGACACCAAGTTTGAGGGATGTGTGTTCAATGGATAGCACCAGATTGGTACCCAAATCGCGTATTTTTCGTGTATATAAACTTCGTACCCGATTTGCCACGGATCACCTGCTCGACAAACTTTCGAAATGTGCACAAAATCAACGCTTTGGTGGTCGTTTGGTCGCATCTGTGTATGCACGTTCTGATGTTTCAACTCATACGCAATCCAGATATTTGCTTCAAAATGTTAACTCCGTAGGTGCCAATTTAGGTAAACTATTCAATCCTTAGTCATTTCCCCCGTGACTTTAGGCGACAGTAATTTTGTTCTCAAACACCGTTGCGCATGATGTTATTTTGGATTCTGCATGTCAAAACAAGAAAAACGAGCCCAATATGTACAATATCAGACAACTTTTAATTTCCCACAGTTCGAAATGCCAAATTGTGACATTTCTGTAGAATGACTCAGACGTCATCCACGATCAGTCCAGACGTTAAAAATGAATTAAATATAAAAAATTATTACAACACTATGGCGCTTGGCGCTTGAATGAAACTATACATGTTCTACGTCATTGGGTAACAAGAATTGGGAGACACACTACAAACCTAACTGTCTACTTAGTACACACTTACAAATGCATGCTAGCAAGTACACACTTACAAACGCATGCTTGACCCACGGAGTTACGGCGTCAAGCATGCGTTTGTAAGTGTGAACTTGCAAGCATGCATTTGTAAGTGTGTACTTGGCCAAGCATGCGTTTTTAAGTGTGTACTTGCAAGCATGCGTTTGTAAGGGTGTACTTGTTTGTAGTGCAGGGGCACTTTGTATCATGGGTTCATGCGAATCACAAGCTCTAAAAACTTGAAATTTGCGCGCAGGCAGGGTGGGCCTATAGATTTTGCCTATAGATTTCTCATCACGGGGCCCGCCCTACGCGCGAATTTCGAGCTTTCGGAGCCTCCCATGATACAAGACAGATTGCCCCTCTCTTCCTTAGTTTGATAAACCTTGCAATGCATTAGTTGGCCTTGATGCGATGTGGCTCAGATGGAAGTGAGTGCAGTTTGCAGTTCCGTAGGTGTCAGTAGTGGTTGAGTTGACTTTCAAAACATTTCGTGCCTTACTGAAATGTTTTGTTCTTGTCCATCGTAATTTAATATTTATTTGAAACATCAGGAACTTGCTTGTTTACGCCTCCTGCGAGAAGAAGTTTTAAGATCCCAATATTGTACCTGGAGACGCCCCGTGGCCACAATGACCACCGTGAGAATGATGAGCCTCTGCATTGCCGGTGAAGTCGCAGGTGACTGTTATTTTTTTTTTTTTTACAAATAATTTATTGGTTGCCAATGAAGGGCCAGGTATACACTGTTAAAAAAGTTATGAATTTTGAAAGCAATTTTGATGACAATTTTACGAATACGGATATGAATTTTACAAACATTGCAATTTTCATAACTTGATGCGAAAATTCGAAACAATTTCGTAAAATTGACAATTGTTGGTAATTTTAAAACCATGTTCTGAAAATTGCGAATCTTAAATGTTGATATTGAGCACACAATAGTAATTTTCCGAATCCGATTGTAAATTTCATAACTAGCTCAAGAGGCGTGGCCAAGGGGCGCTGGTAGAGTCATCAGTAGCTGACCCTCCGCCTCCCGTGGGACGTGGTAGCACAGCGGTAAAGAGCGCGCACCACAAGTCAAAGATCCCGGGTTCGAAACCCACTGATGAAAAGCAGAATCGGTTCAATAAATGGCATAAGGCCGCTTGGGTGTTCATATACATGAACACTTAGTTGTCCTTTTGCTTAACTGCTCTAAAATGACCTCGCAAACGCGAATATGAATTTTCATAACATGATATGAATTTTCATAACGTGATTGTAAAACAATTTACAATCATTTGTGATTTTAATTTTCATAACAATTGTTTGTGAAAAAAAATGCCAACCAATGTTATGAAAATTACAACTGATTTTTTTAACAGTGTACGGGCGCTGCATGGGAGCGTGCGTGATGCCCCCATCTTCGATGGCATGGGAGGCATTGGTTCAAATAGATGTCAACACATAGATAGGGAAGCACGTAGCCAGAAACGAGATGGCCTCTACCAATATATCAGTGATATATGTTTAAAAAAAGAAATTTCGATGGAAATTCCCTGGACAAACACTGGTGGAAGTAAGGGGTACGGTTGCCCCTTCTCTCAAACGTATATTCTTGAAGCAGACGTACACTCCAGCTCCATCTCAGTGCCAAGCAAGTCACTAACTAGGGGTACGCGCCGTTCAGTCTGGGCGCGTAGTGTGGCTGAGCGATGCGAATTGACATTTTTTGTGCACTTTGGACTTTGCTTGATTAGACGAAGTGTCCATCTTATGGGCTCATATTCAGTGAACTTTAGACCAGGGGTACAAATGGAAGTGATTTTCGTCATCAGAACACCAAAAACTGCTGGAATCAATGTCAAACTCGATTTAAAAATTTTGGTCCAAAATTGGTCAAAATTCGGTTAAATATGAGTCTGGGAAAAGGTTGAAGGTCATTTTTGAGCTCAGCACACCAAAAACTGCAGGAAATAATGTAAAACTCAACATGAAAATTTTGGTCCAAAATGATCTAATTTGCGATGAGAATATAAGTCTGGAGTAGAAATGAAAGTGATTTTCCCCGCGTGGAAGGATCTGTAGTTTAGGCTACACTGGAAAAATATAATTTTTTTTGTAACTGTCTATTTAGATTTAAAAGAGAGATTTCTGTACTTTAAATACAATTAAACTGTTAATTGAGTGCATAAAAATGTAGTCAAAGTAAAGATAAAGTATAGAAAACTATAGTTAAACTGTATAAAAACTACCAGTTATTTCGGACAACTATAGTTTTTGACCCCAGTTTGTCCCACTTGACTATATAGTTCAAAGTACAGTTTTACTGTAGTTTATTTACACAGGTAGACTTGGTTTAAAAAAGAAAAGAGACTGCAGTTTGAATTTTGCGGTCAAAATTCAAAAATAGTAATTTTCGAGCCCTGTTTTGAGGAAACTCTTCCTCCCTCCCACCCCATGGGTAACTGAAGTTGTGTTGATCGTGTTTCTTGGGTGAATGTTGCCGGGAGTTGAACCTCGGACACTTCAGTTGCGAAGCAGAGGCCTTGACCACTGCTCCACTGAGCTTCCATGTGGGACAGGGCTTGGCCACTCGACCACATGGAAAGGCCTGCTATCCCCAGGAACTAGAGTGCAACTGCAAGAAAAATACAGTTTTACTGTAAACTGCTCTGTACTATAAGTAAATTTTGCAAATCCAAGAAGTAATTTGTATTAAGTTTGCCTCTGAAACAAAAAGACCATGAAGTGATTTAATTTAGAGTGCCTTTTCAGTCTTATTTTTCAACGACAGGAGTCGTTACCTTTTTAACTTCTGAGACGTTCTGGATCAAGACGCTTCCTAATTTTTGTTGCGTTTAACATTCAAACACCTGGTTATAATGAGTTTGATGCTTCTTAACTAGAACTTGTTTGTCATCTTTGTCAAACTAGTGACACATTGTGGTTTGTTGATTTCCACGATTCCTTGTCACATAATACCTGACCAATATGGAACGTTATAAAATAATCAAACAGATTACCAGATGGTGTTTTAAAGATTTGGTTACATTCAGTCATGTGTTTTTGTTTTTGCTTTTTTTAAAATTTTAGTTTAGTCGTGTCTTCTAAAAGTCTCCAATGTCCAGTATTTCAACGTAAACTGTTGGTCTGCGCACTTATAACTTCCGAGGCTCATACATTATAGAGACTAAAACCAACCTTTATAGCTTGAAAATTTTTAAAAGAAATTACTAAAATTTCTAAAAAATATATCTATTCCCATCCTAATATTCTATATTTTAGTTACATTTTATAATTGTTTCTGTGTCTTCATATCAAATTGCAGTGCTTGACTTATCTTTAAACCATGCCTGAAATGCAAAATTACTGCAAATTGTAGTAAACATTCAACTTGCTTGTCATTGTGTATAAAAATGTGACCAGAAACTACATTTGCTTTGTGGATTGTGCTGAAGATACAAGTGTAGGCAGATCTTTAGTAGTAGACTACAGAATTAAAGAATTAATAACTTCCCTTTAAAGTACAGACCGTACTCAATACCTAGTTAACAAATAACAGTTCAGATAGAGTGCAGTTTTAAAGCACAGCAACCTTCAGTTCCAGGAGCAAACTGTACAACTGTACAACTGTACAAGTTCTGAAGTTTGTTCTTACAAAAAACTGCAGTCAGCAACTGCAGTTTTAGCACTGTAGTTTAAACTGTAGTTTCACTACAGATCCTTCCACGCGGGTCGTTATCAGCACACCAAAAACTGCTGGAATCAATGTCAAACTCGATTTTAAAATTTTGGTCCAAAATTGGTTAAAATTCGGGTAAGTGTGAGTCTGGGAAAAATTTTGGAAGTCATTTTCGAGTTCAGCACACAAAAAACTGCAGGAAACAATATAAAACTTGACTTGAAATTTTTGGTCCAAAATGATCTAATATGGGATGAAAATATAGGTCTGGTGTTAAAATGGGAGTTATTTTCGTTATCAGCACTCAAAAAACTGCAAGAATCACTGTACAATTCATTTCAAAAAATTTAACCAAAAATCGGTTAAATTTTGGGTTAGGGGACAATTAAGATGTCAATATTGAGGTCAGCGCACTGAAAACTACAGGGAAATACATAAATCTCAACTTGGAAAGTTTTGCCCCAAATTGCGTAGCTCTAGATGAAAATGTAGGATTGGCATTGAAATAAATGTAGTTTTTGTGACCAGTACACTGCAAACTACATACAATACTTAAAACTCAATTTCTGTAGATTGTTCCTATTTGTCTTCATGAAGCACCCTCTGTCGTCACCAATTCCCTGATGCCACACCAAAGCGAATCCCTCAGTCGAGTAAAATTCAATTGCCAACATTGAATCGCTTAATTGGCTACTCGTATGCTTGGGTCACTAAGGGAGAGTGGGGTAATTCCGGACACGGGGTAATTCCGGACACTTCGATTTTCACTGGGTTTGAATGAAGATAACTCAAAAGCCCGCCTAACAGAGGAAGATAATCAGTTTAAAAGGAGCATTCCAAATCGCTAAAGTAGGAGGTCAAACCGTTTGCCTGTGGTCGCTTCCCGAAATTTGAGTACCATCAAAAAAAGGCAAAAGCTGCATCTTTCCCTCGTATTTCCATGTACTTATCGTACCTTACCGTCAAGTTCAGTCCCATGACTAAAATTTTATCATATTTAATGGTCATTGGACTTTACTTTGGCGTTTCGGGAGTGCTCGTATGGCTCGCCGTTTTCTTACAGTTGAACATCAAAGGTTTTCACTACCTGTGGGGTAAATCCGGACAATAAGGGTTATTTTCTTCAATTTCCCGCATAATGTTAAGGTAGTGGGTTCAAAATTGTGGACATGCATCCCCACCGTTAAGAAGGATAAAGAAAGAACGAAAAATAGCATTGCAGCTATGTTTAAGAGCTTTACTCAAGACAGTGTTGTCAATTTAGGGGTTTTGATAGAAATTATTCCTTATAATATGCTTTGAGTAATAATCAAACACTTCACTTCGCAGCAAATGTCCTTAAACGCCTTCTAGAGGCATGCCTCACATCAAAACAAGCGAAAGTAAGCTCGAGTAGTGTCAAATTTTAAGGTCGTCCGGCATTGCCCCATAGGTCGTCCGGAATTACCCCAGCCTGGGGCAATTCCGGACACGTGCAGGGCTTTTGTTAGGCGCCTATATCTCCCTAACCGTTGCTGAGATTTGGCTTTCATGTATACCGTTTTGAAGGTAAAGGTCCATACTTTACTCTCCTGTCATAACATTTAACCCAAGAAGCATATTCAAGCTCAAAGACCAAAAAGAAAAAAAGCGTCCGGAATTACCCCACTCTCCCTTATTCGATAACTCTTTTTCCTTAACTAATGAACTCACAATTGTATAAGTTATATTTATGAAACATTTTGTTATTCTTTCATTGTGAACCAGTGAATAAAACAATATTGGTTGGAACATGTTATCACAGTAAATATTAAGAGAGTCAGTTTATGGTAGGCTGATCTAAACCAGTTAACGGGGACAAATTATTGTCAAATCCAGTGATTCGTCACATAGAGTCCAATGCCAAGGCTACCCAAGGCTTAATGAACCGACATAATTTATCTTACTCATGTAAACATTACTGAGTAGTACCAGTTACATTAACTTCGGTGAAGTTAA